AATTGGGGTTCTGTCTGCATGAGAAGAGGGGGAGGAGAAACGCAGGTGGAGAATGCCTCCACTAGTGCCAGTTCCTGATGGCAGAAGACTGGTGGGTCTTCTGCTGTCAGTCCTCTGATCCCATAGAACAATCGCTCCATGGGATCGGGGAACAGGCACCAAAGGAGCCTTTCTCCCATGCCTCTATCCCCTCTTCCCCTTCTACCAGTTGCAAGAGAAGCAGAGCAAGGGATAAGGAGGGGAAATGTCTCCTCAGCTCTTCTGTCTCCAGCCCACAGAGTGGTTGCTCTATGGATGGGGAACAGACAGCAGAACTGCTCCCCCCATTTCTCTTGGTGGGCAGCTTTACCGTGAGCTAAAGAGACAATTCTGCCTCACTTCTCTTCCCCTATAGGGTGCGTTGGGACAAGAGCAATCCTTCAGCTAACAGAGCTGTGCAAAGAGGAGAGGAGAGGAGAGGAGAGGAGAGGAGAGGAGAGAAGAGAAGAGAAACATATTGACTCCTTTGGTGTCAGTTCACTGATCCCAAAGAGAGATTGGAGAACTGAGGGCAGAAAATCTATGGGTCTTGTAAAACCAGTAACTGGCACTGACAGCAGAAGACCCCACCTCTTTCCTTCCTTCCTGTAAAGCTTCTGGAAGACCACTGGACAGGGGTACAAAATTGTAGCCACAATCGCCATTGATCAGGGGCCACTGTGAGGGCAGCCATCAGGGCTGGATGGGCAGCCTTACTCTGGGGGTCGGGCGGGGCTAAAGAGCAGGTTACCCCATTTCCCTTCCCCAGTAGATCTCCAGTTTCATGGAACAAGGGATAGCTGGCTGACCAAAAGCCCCCTTCCCACCCCAGATCCACACTTGCTTCTCTTGCCATCCCTCCCAGCCCTGGCAGACAGGGGACCTGCTGCCACAGTCAGCAAGAGAAGTGGAAGAGATGGTTCTTTGGCCCAAAAGCAAATGGCCAGCCCTGAAAAATGACTAGTGATGCGGATGTGGCCACAGCTGTCCCTGGTAGCCAGTAGGAGCAGGGGAGTTCCCTGTCCCAACCTTACCTCAATAAAAGGTTACAGATGGACCACATGGTATGGCTTGTGCCCAAAGAAGCAGGAAAACACCACTTCGGAGGTGGAACAGGTAAACATGAGTACAGGCTGTGTCTACAGAGGGCAAGGGGTGAGCTATCCATCCGTGTCTTCCTGAAATGGTTAGCAAGGCATCTTCCTGCCATGGACTTGAAGGTGATGTCATCTACTGATGTCCTCCCACTACTGAGGCAGTGAGCAGCTCATGAGGAGGAGCCCAAAAACAGTTGTCCATCACTAGAACTTTCTGCCCCTTTGAAACATCTGCAATTTGCTTTTGGAAGCATCATCTGTATGTAACTTAGTCGCCATCACTTAAGTTATGAGAACAAACTGCACATTCCCATGAATACATTTTCTGAAAGTAAAGTGGTGGATTTGCTGTCGAGCAGCACAACATTCTTGCTAATTGTTATTAATATTGCCACTGCTAGTACTGCTTTATATACTTTATGGGTGATGAATACCAACAGCTCAGCTATTTCTTTGTCTGCAGGAAAAGCTGCAGTGGTGAAAGCAGTGTATTAGAGGAATAAAATATTCATCTTGAACTAAGTTAGCAGGATTAAAATAACATTTGATTTCAGAACCTAATTTCTGAAGAGAATCAATATAACCATCTATTCTATAACCTTCTGTTTACAACACAAGGCTCATCCTGTAGGTGACCGCGTGGCCTAATGGATAAGGCGTCTGACTTCGGATCAGAAGATTGAGGGTTCGAGTCCCTTCGTGGTCGATTATTTTAGTGTGTGGGCAAATAGATCTGACACAAAGTTAAGGACGGAATCGCCGATTGGCTATCCTCCACCACCTAAAACGCCGTGCCATACACGGAATGAAAAATCCTCCCTCTTCTCCAGAGATGGGGTTTTTTCAGAGTTCTGTACTGTAATCGGCTTCACGCCGCGAACAGTACCGCACGCTGCATTAAACGTGAGGATCCGGATAGTCTATGAAGCATGAAGTATAAATCAGGCTGTCGTTTTATTTTGAGCCTATTTAGAGCATCTTGGTGCCTTGTCTTTCTTGCAAAAGGAAATGAACGGAAAGCATCTGCAAAAGGCGGCAACCAGGAAGCTTACGCACAAAAAACGGGAGGGGAGGGGGAGATGTGATTATCAGCTTTTCTGTAAGAGGGAATAAGTAACGAACGACTGCCTCGTAGAGCCCCAGTGGCCTAATGGATAAGGCACTGGCCTCCTAAGCCAGGGATTGTGGGTTCGAGTCCCATCTGGGGTGGGAAAAACGTTTTGTCCAAATGCCACTGCTTTGAAAAATCATTTCCTTTCCTAAATTATTACGTAAGAACGAATACCGTAAAGCTTTCAGTCATCACAACGTGTGACTTCAGACAACGCACACTATATAGATATTTCAGGTACTGAGGTTTGTAATGTTTGCATGAGCCACCAAGTACCCGTTTTCTGTGGCCTTCTGTTAAATTTATATTCATAGCTGCCCAAAGTGGTTCCTTTCCAAATGCCTTTGTCTCAAAGCTGACCATGGACATGTGACAGGTCCCAGTCGCCCTCTGGGGGAGATGGGCGGCATATAAATTTAATAAAGAAATATACAAAGGAATATTGTATATTCCCAAACTTTCAATAGGCTCACCTTTCCCTGAAGACGTGTTTGAGGCACGTTTTGCATTACTTGCTACCCTGCAGATTGGCAGGAAATAGTAGTTGTGTGTAGTGGGGGGAGGGGAAGCCACCCCCGCCACGGTGGCAAATCCAACTTCTCATCAACAGTGGTAAGTTTCAAACTGAGTTTTAAGGCCAAGGTCCTGTAACTGGGGTGGGGGGGTGACCCAGTGGGCGAGAGGGCCCATGGCAAAACAGAGCCAGCAACAACGTTGGGACCAAAATGCTACAGGCCAAGCCAGGGCCTGGGGCAGATTCCGCTGTCTGCAGCCTTATTGCCCTTTTTGCATCTTATCCTTTTAAAAAGTCTGCAGCAATGTTTTTCAAAGTTGGCAACTTTAAGATGTGTGGACTTCAACTCCCAGAATTCCTCATGCTGGCTGGGGAATTCTGGGAGTTGAATTTCACACACCTCAAAGTTGCCAAGTTTGAAAAACACTGGATTATAGTGGGATGGCGGGTGACTGGTCAGATGTGCTGAGTGATCTTCTTTTAGTCTTTTCACTTGTTCTCTTTTCCAATAAAAATGATTTTATTCTCCGGTAAATATATTCAGTGTCAAGGAAATAGAAGCAATCTCCATTTTATTCTATAGTCATGATAGCACTAATAATGAGAATATAAATTTAACACTACAACTGGTGATGGTGGTAGTGGTGATGATGGTCTCCATTTATATCCCACTTTCCTGTTCACAGGCTTAGAATGTTCTTTTGGCTTAAGTCCCCGTCTGTGAGTAAACCAGTCACTTCATTCATTCATTTATTGTAATTAAACATACAACAGACTTAAACTAGGTGTATTTATTTTACCAATCAATCTCTGTCACCAGGCAAGCAGCAGATGCCCTGGAATTATATATCCCAGTCTATCCACATATTCTGGGGGTGGTAAGTCTAGCCCAGCTGAAGGAGACAATATTGGGGGTGGCTATTATAAGCAGCTTTCGATGAGTGAAGGTAGGACCAAAACAAAGTCTTCCCTATCTTACCCCACTAACAATTCTTTAGTTTCTCAGATGACATTTGTACCAATAGTAACATGAGCCAAAAAGCAATTTAGAGATATACAAACAAATAAACTGGAATAAAACAAAGTGCACATGAAAAATGTGGGCATAATCACAGGTATAATTCATTAATTTCAGCAAGGCAGGGCATCATATTTTCAAGTTTGATACCTACCAGCCCTTTACAATTCCAGTCAGACAACAATTGCAAAGAGTGCATAAAATGTTCTGCTAAATCATGACCTCAGAGAGAACAACATCAGGACAATAAAGAGTAATATGTAATTAGCACTAATATGCAATAATTTATTAATTAATCAGGAAAAAAGGGAACCTTTTTATGGGAGTGATCTCTTCCTCAGGCCAACTGGCAGGAAAGAAGAATGTCTGATGGAGAGAGAATAATTTTTCAGCAAATATTAAAACTGACAGAGGGTTTCAGATATTAAACACATCATTCCCATAGCCAGGAGAGGTTTCACTCAAAAGCAAAACAATTTGAGTTTCTTGCTTCAGTGAACCCTGCAGTCAAGAAATTTCTCAGTTCTATTTTAATTATCTTCCAAACCTCAGAGCAAGAAGAATGTGGAAAGCTGTTAGAATTGTTTTTCTCTTCTCTTGGCTACCAGGTAAGTACATTTTTTTTTTCTTCTCCCATCCAACCAATATTCCTAGAAACTGGTAGATCTATTGTAGCACATGCATGGATTAAGATTGGAATGAAGAATAACAGTGCTGGCATTCAGTGGCTTCCAAAATCATCATACACAACAAAATTAAAGGAAGACTAGTAGCAGAGGTGAGTATTTTATTCAGTTCATTTCTGTAGGATAAGTATTCATCCAGCTAGACATATTTCTTCATAAAGGGGGCAAAAAAAAAATGAGATTAAGAATGTTTGAATGTTTGAGAAAGCAAGATGGACAGGCAGCAAGACTGCTTTCTTCTTCTAGGCATGTACTTTTTGGTTGCCACGTTCTTCCCAGTGGAGGTTCTTCTTTAACAACTATGAGGACAGTCCAACTCCATGGGGCCCATGCTGGGAACAAAAAGATTGTTTGTGTTATTGATTTTGTCATAAGAATTCACCAAAGCTGAGAAATGCACCCATACCAGGGGTGTGTGAGATACAAAAATTCAAAGGTGGAGAAAGCTGAACGGTTTTGTCCATCCATAAAGGGGAATTGTGTTGTATCATTCTGATAAAAACAAAGGTGTGGAACATGCTCATTGTTTTTCACATTGTGCCTTCCAGATGCCAGCATGAGACAGATCTGTAAATATCATGATGTGGTCGAGTACCTGAACATCTCCTCCAAGCAACATCTCCTTTTATACTCTATACCAAGGAAGAATTGGGAAGAGTCTTTGGAAGTTGACCTTGACTTCACCCTTATCTCCATACTTTCAGTGGTAAGAGAGAATGATTGCTGTGTTTGCTCTTCAGAAGCAGGGCTGATACAAATAGTGAACAGAGATATTGAAAAGGGTAGTGTTAGTTGGGAAAGGAGAACTAGTACTCTCTCACATATGTGACTTGTTGGAAGGAGACAAGCAGAATTCTTGCTTATTCAGGAAGGATAGATCCAGCTGAGACTGTCTAGGAATGCCATGATAGATCTGTCAATAGTATATGTGATTAGGTGTATATGTGTGTGTAAATCATCTTTTTTTGCCACTCTACCCCTCTGCACAAATGAACATTTATGCTACCTATGTATTTCTCTGACCACAATTCTATACACCCTTACTGAGAAGAGATCTCCATTGATTCAATATGGCATATGGCTGAATAGACTGTGCATTGTGTCCAACTTTTGAAGACTGGAAGAAGGATGAGCTCAAATTTCTCTATTTCCTCTTTTGCAGCAGGAAAAATTACAAGTGGCCACATTCTACTTCTGGCTATATGTGGTAATGTACTCATTTTGCTCTTCTACAAGTAGCAAAGTCATCTATGTTTTCTAGAAACCTAGATTAATTTAAAAAATAATAATTTACACCTTTTAAATTATTCTTTCTTCTTTACTAGACCTGGAAAAATGAATTTATCAGCTGGAATCCTTTGGACTTCTGTAACATTTCCAGTATCACTCTTCCAGTGAACCTTTTTTGGATCCCTGACATTTTCATACATGAACAGTATCTTTTCTATTTTTCTTACTTTTTGAATATGTTTTAAAACTTTGTTTAGAGAGAAAATTCACAGTAATACAGTATTGCAGTACTACACAGTATTGACTGTTAAACCTATACACACTGACTCAAAGTTATCCTTCATTCCCACATCTAGGCATTAGGAATACCATAATGAAACCCAGAAATTTAGCACCACTGCTAAAGTGCCAACACTTCAGAAAAATCTAGTAAATTTTGCACCCAGGTCTGATATAATTTAGCTTTCCTTAGAAGAGGATTTGTTATGAATCCAATAACATCTTTCTTTTAGTCCATCTGACTTATGCAAAACAGCCATAGAAAATAGATTGCTTCTTGTTTTTACTAGTTTATAGGGCAGGCACGTTGTTCAGAAGTAAGTTCTATTTAGGCTGATGGGTTTGACACCAGTTAAGTATTGTAGGGTTCTACCCTTAAATTATGATCAAAGCAACCAAACCATCTCCAGCATCAGCTTGGACAAGATTGAATCCATAAAGGCAATTTCTGTCATTTGGATCTTGTGGTTGGTTGATTGGTTGGTTGGCTGTTATACCAGAGATTTTTCTCACGTATTTTGGTTGTTTTACATGAAAGAGAGTCTCCGTATATGTCTCCATACATATTAAACAGTATTATTGTCTAATATGTGCAAAATACAAACTTTTCTTAATTACAATGTTTTGCTTTCAGGGCAGATGAAAATAAGTATTCACTTAGTCCTTTTGTTGAAATAACCTCCGATGGCTTCATTACTTCAGCTCAAGCACATCAACTCACTTCCTCCTGCAACTTGGATGTCCACATGTTTCCTTTCGATGAGCAAAAGTGCAGCTTAACCTTATCGTCATCATTACATTCAGGTAACTTAGTTGAGTACAGTGGAATGGTTATGACCTGTCATGAACTTTGCTTGGCCTTCCTTTCTTCCCAGGCTTCTGAAGCCACACTCCTCCTATTCATGCACATGTTCTCCATACCTCTCTGGTTTCTCCACTTCAGCCTGCTATTGCTGCAGTCCCTGTAATGCATCTACTTTATGTTTTCTTCTTTCGTTAATTCAGAACTCACTTTTTTCCCTTTCTCCATGTCATCCCACTAGGACACAGGAAGTGTGCCCTCTCTTTCACAGTGCCTGTCCTCTGGATCAGCTTATCCCCCTTGCCCCACCCACAGGATTCTGATGGCCCCAACCCTGGTGGCTTTTTGTAAGGCCTTAAAGAACTGGCTTTTCTCTCACATGGTGGGCCAGGGTGGCGGATGAACCCATTTGTAATGGTTTGGGTACTGAATTATTGTAGGCTGACTTTAATTTATTTGTTGTTTTATTTTTCTTCATTTTGTACTGGTTTTAGTCCTATATTAGCACACACACACACCAGTCTCAATTTGTGAGTTGGGCAGCCACATAAATTTATATATGCATAAAGTGCATACATGCATTCATACGTACATGATTATTGCTCATTTCCAACACTAATCACTAAAGGGAAGATTGTAGCTGGTAGTATAGAATGTAATATCTCAACAGATTCACCAACCTCTATTTTACTTTCAGTATATATTTTATATCAGACTTCCTAATCTGGCACCTTCTCAGATGTGATGGCCAGAAACTTGGGAGACGCTATCTCAATATACTTGGAGGATTCCCGGAAGGGGGTGAACCTTTTATATATTCAGGATACGATTGTCATTGTTCAGACTGTCCTGAATTAACAGCCCTCTGGGTCATTGGTCTTGTATTCTTTCTAGAAAAGGAACTGAAGATGAAGAACATTAAAACTTCCAATAAGACAAATCAAGACAGTTACAAGTATTATTTAACCAGTGGAGAATGGAAGTTTGAGAAAGTGATAATTGTTGAGCAAACGCTGTTTTATAAATTCATGAACTTCAGTACAGTCATCTATGAGGTACTGATTACCAATGCATTAAGAAAATGCTATATATCTTCTTTGTAAGACGGTGTAATCGTATGTGGAAGTAACCTTGGGAGATGGGGGAAGAGCCACAGCCAGGGAAATGGATAAGAGGCAGCTTAGCCCGCAAAAGGATTGTGGGTGTGGCAAACATCTCAGAAGGGACCCTTCTAGTTTCTTGGGCTGTAAAGGTGACGGGGGAGAAATGTACTTTCAGACTTGCAAGATTCCATTAATGTAACCTTACAATAAAGTAGAATTAGTTCATCTGGCCGTGTTTCCCGGCTGGTCTACCTTGTAAGGCTGACAGATGGCACGCTTGTGGATTTTGAATCTGCATTTGTAAAGATGCTGCTTTGGAAAGGGTCAGCACAGCATTGGCCTCTTTTTAAAATGGTGCATGTCTCTGTATATCGACATTAGTAGCTCTCAGATGCAAAAGTTATATTTAAACCCAGTGGCACAAAGAGAATAAACTCCTGCAGCTGTGACACTGTGCATGTTTAACTGGGAGCAAGACCCATAGAAACACTGGAACTTATTTCCATGTGTGTTGGATGAGTATGTCTGTATATATGTTATATATTATATATGCAGATTGGTAGATACACACACACACACACACTATATATATATATAATACATATGTAATATATTTTATATAATTATATACCGTATCTATAATATATAGCATATATTATAGTACATACTCTGTGTGTGTGTGTGTGTTTATAATGCCACTGAAATAAGCAAAGCTAATTATTACTATATTGGTGCTGGTGCTTCTCTTGATGGAAGTTTGGCAAAATGATAAGGGAATAGTCCTAAGCAAATTTACTAGGAAATGAAGTGTGTAAACACACAGGGGTAAATATATGATACACACTCCATCCACCCCCTTGACAGTATATTCCCCCCAAATCCAGAGGATTCTCCCTCCATCCCCACAACCAATCTGTATGTTACCAAATATAACGGATTTCAAAGTTGGTCCGCTCTGAGTTTTGTTTGTGGAGTGTTCATTGTGGAGGGGCATATAGGCAAGGCAAATCAAACCAAGTGGATTCCTCCTGGAGTTTGGAAACTGATTGGAAGTCAGACTGATTCTTTCAACTAGTGAAGACAGGTAGAGAGTAGACCGTGCATTAAGAGAAAGACAGAAGGAAGATTTCAGCTTTCCCCAAGAAATTGGAAATAAGAAAAGTATTTATTTAAAAAAAAACTCTATCATAGGCCTAAGCGTCAAAGAAATCATGATTTGAACATCATTTTCCGTCTGAACACTGGACTTCAGAAAAGGAAGCTATATGGCAGATATAGCCTCAACCTCAACAACTTGAAGATGTGTGGACTTCAACTCCCAGAATTCCCTAGCCAACCATGTTGAAGTCCACACGTCTTCAAATTCCCAAGGTTGAGAAACACTGTGCTAGAACCTGCAACCACAGTGCTACGGACTGCAGAACCTTACGTGTTATTCCAGGATGGGGAAAGTCCAGTTCAAGCCCTGCTGCCAAGGAAGTTACTGGGTGACTTTGGGCCGTTCTCTCTTTCTCCATCCAACCAATGTCAGGGGTGCTATTGCACAGGAAAATAGGGTGAGGAAGTGTTTTTTATACTGCCTTGAGTTCCTAATTTAAAGACAAATCTGAAACCAATAACTAAACAAAGAAAGCAAAATGGTGCGACTTTCTAACCTGTTCTCCTCCATCTGCATTGATGAAGTTACTGCTTCATTCTCACAGCAGATATTAAGTTGCCCCCTTCTTCACTGTGTTTTGGAAAAAGGTCACCACTATGTTGCTCTATTCACAAAAAGAGCCCTATACTGCAGACTATAGCAAATATTTTGCTGCAAATCAGGTAGGCAGAACCAAACAATTAAGTTCCGCCCATGTTCTGAAAAGATTTCATATTCAGCATAACAAGGATTCCCTCTTTTCTCCTGTTTTCATCTGGCTAAGCCTCTAGAACCTTTTTTCTAATGGATCTTTGTGGTCTAAAATTTCAATAATACTTTTTTCTCTTTCTGTCAACAAGATAAAATGCTTGCTGGATCTTTGCCTGGCAAGCTGTTAAAAGAGAAATAGCTCACAATTTTTACAATGAGAAATTTGGGCACAGAATGGTCCTAGCACTGGCAATCAATTTCAGGGTCTCTCCAACAGCAGTTTGCACTAATTCAGTCCTTGTTAGCAGCCCTGTCATTTCCCAGAATATGAGAATATTAAATGTTTCAGGAAAAGGTAAGATTGTGGTCTCATCCATTTTTAAGTTGTTAAAATCAAGACCGATGTTCGATTTGCTCATGTGACTTATCCATGGATAGCCCAATGGCCGACTGAGAAATTACTAGTTGTCTTCTGCTCTTTTCCTCATCTGAGACCTCAGCTACTATGAGGGTTGGGTGGCTGGTTGCCTGAGGTTAATCCCTCTCCTATTTTCTTGTTTAAGGGCCCAGTTTGTGTTGGAATCACCATGAAAATCAAGGCTGATTTTCCACTCCCACTCTGTTCCCTGAGCCATTATTATCTTCAACAATTCCCTATCTACTTCTGAAAGAAGAGTTCAGGACAGTGGCAGGACTGATTCTGGGTAGCAGCCACTCCAGCTAATTGTTTTACATCTGGAGCATGAGAGTTAGTTGCTATGATTTAATCCCACTTCACCGTCCAGGTTTAACCAGCAATGGAATAATGGCTGAGGCACACCACTTCACTGGTTGTGCATTGTAGCTAAGAGTCTGTCAAAACCAACATCTTGGACCCAGGGGCATCTATGTGGGAGGAAGAGACGGCCCCAAAAAAGTCAAGATGGCAATTCTGGCATGCAATCAAAAGCCCCCTGAGGTACATAAAAATGGAACAGGTTTCTACTGCACAGTTGTGGCCACCATCTTGATCTTTTTATTTCTCCCTTGACATCCCTGCTTGGACCTACAGCATGTTTAGACAATCAGCTAAGTCTAGCCTTGGGATGATTTAGCAGGTTGTAGAAAGGGAATTTATGCTGGTCATGGAAATGTGTTATTTTACTACCTTTTCTTTTTACAGATTGTTATGAAGAGGAGATCCATTCTACATGAATTAGTTCTGATTCTGCCAACATTTGTTCTCTTCTTGCTAGATATGGCTATTTCTTATGCTTTTGCCTCTCCTGCAGAAAAGATTGCCTTCAAAGTGACCATGATCTTGCAGGTCTTATTTTTGTCTATGATGCTTAATGACAAGCTACCAGCAACGTCAGATTATCCACCAGTAATAGGTAACTGCCTAATTGTGTGGAATACTCAGTAGTGGAACTCTTGGAACAATTAGGGGTAATCAATCATCATTTTTTTAGCAAGGAACACATTGTGTGAATCATCCTTATGTTATATGTCCTGAATACTGAATAAAAATGCCTATATGCAGTATCTCACCACATGATTTAATGCGGGTTGACCATATGATCTGAAGAGCATTGGAATTAAGGCCTAAAAGATTTCTGTGGAACACAGCAAAGTGTCACCCCACCATGGGACGGAACTCCCTGACATAAGAGCCATAGCTCTGTGCTGCTACCTGAGATGGTAAAAGGAGGGGAGATCTCAGAAAAATAAGCAGAAGTGTCTGCTTGGCAGCAGTAAGCCAAGTGCTCCATACTTTCTAGAACTGTAAGCCAGGCATTCAAGGTGTAGGTGTCAGGAGAAGACATTGGTAACAGGACGAGTAGTATGTGTACCCAGTGGTGGCTTTCAGCATGTCTACTCACATGAGATAGGGGCATCTTCCCACCCACCCCACAAGCCATAAAAAGATATTCTCTAAGATATTTTCCAGAGCAAAAGGTGTAGGCTGGGGAAAACTGGTGAAAATCAGATATCCTTCCATGTGTGGACAGAAGTACTTTCTATTAGAGAAATCCATCTTATTGGATGGACAAAAGCTGAAACGTGAACTGATGACAGGCAATGGACATTTTTATTGCTTTTATCAAGCCCAGTTTACATTCTGTGCTAAGTACGGTGAGCAAAACTGCTTGGTTTTTTGTCCTATTGTTTTGCAATATTAAAATGACCCTTTATTATATTAAAAGGGAAGCTGAAGAATCATAAAAGACATTTAGAACATCTGCACTTCTTTTCTCTTTATCTCACCCCAAATAGCTTGTGCTTTCTCTTGACTCTTCTTTTTGAGTTCACTACTGTATTACGTTGCATAAAATAACCTCTACTGAAAGCTTTACTTGCATCCCAAACCATTCTTAAATCAGTACCTTTATCTAAATTATTTCCAAAAAAATATTTTAATTTCTTTTTATAATCCTTCAGTATTGCTTCTTTCTGTAGCAACGTTTCTTTTAGTCTCCATCTAAAAGAACTGGATTTCCTTTTATAAACCAAACTCACAGGATTATGATCTGAAAAAGTCTTTGG